ACTTTTTTTGTTTGACATGATTTTTTTTTCATTGAATACTACTTTTTTTGTTTGACATGATTTTTTTTTTTTTGATTGAATAATTGTGAAACAAAACTAACTCCATAGGAATGTTCTAAAACTTTACTTTGTTGTTGGATCATTTCAGGTCTATTGTTTACTGAAGCGCCATAGTTATAGTTTAGTAAGTTTTAATGGCGTTTACAGAGAAATACACCATGTTAGTGAAACGCTGAAACATTTCCAGTGTCAATCTATTTTAAAAACTGAATACTCGATGTCAACAAAGTGATACGCAAATAGGACACAAAAATAAGCACTGATAGAATTAAGATAAAACCCATCCTTTTTTTTTTTTTATTTCCACAGCTCATTCCCATTTCCTGCTGTGAACGTTCCTGTAAAAGTGCTCATTTCTTCTTTTTCTGCTTCCATTAAGTATCCACATAAATCTACAAATTTTGGGCAAGAAAATTGCTTCCCAGATGCAGTCGTATCTGTATCAGGATGCTGTGCTCCCAAGAATGGCAGGATTCATGGTTTTCTCCCCGACCCCCAGCCTAGATGGGCCTACTTCCAGATGTCCCATACAAGCTCAAGGGGCTTCTTTGGGACAAGTTTATTATTCATCTCGGATTATAAAAAGTTCTAGCACTAAAAAAATATTGCCACTGTATTTGCCCTTTAAACATGTTCATTGCCTTTTCTTAAAATTCCCTCCATGTGTTGAGGGAATATTAAAAGGTTGCCATTTGGGTATCGTCAGAAGACGGCATACATAATATGAAAAAAAAAAATAGCAGTTCTTGTCCTTCCAGATTAAGACTGGATAATAGTTTCTTTTGCTTTTGAATTCAAGTTAGAAATCAAACGTCAGAAAGCAGTCATGAGACTGGCGGGGCCTCGGTCAGGAGACGATTTTACTTTTAGTAGGATTCAGTGAATGTCTCAAAACATCAGTTGGCTGTGCATAATGATCAACAACCAGGTTTTAAAACAAAAATAAATGCTTTTATTAAATTTGTTAAAAAGACAAATATTGAAGGTGGCACGTGCTGTAACTGCAGCAGTTTGTATCACGACCAGTTCAAAAATGAAGGCCAGGTTGTGTGTGGTCTCCTGTCAACGCCGCCCTCCCACGTCTCCGAGCGGTGATCAGTGTCTCTGGACCTGCAGAAGAACAACATTATTCAGCTTGATGAAGATCCGAGCTTAGTCAGATAATTTTATGAAGCAAAACTCTTTCAACCCTTAAATTGAGAAACTCTTCATTGAACCATCTGCACAGCCGGTTGGCCAGGAGACGGTTGGGGCAAGATGGAGCCGTTGCATCACAGGACCTCAAAACAGTGTCTTGCAGTACAATTTGTACTTTTCACATTATAACTAAAGATTTCAACATAGTTGTGAGGTTATAAAAGTTTAAAAAAAAACACATCACCTCTGTAAAGTACTGTACATTAAATTTGACTGACTTTGTAGTAACACTAACTGCTTATCATATGGTAGATTGAGAGCGGAGTACAGCTGAGGTGTGCTGGGCGTTTGAACTCTGACCCTTCCCTCAGGAGCAGCAACATCCCCAGAGTCGCTGGGCGATGGGCTGATGGGAAAGCAGCCGGATAAGTTGGCTCCTCCCACACCAGAGAAATCTGCACCACAGACAGGTGAAACTAATGTGCTGGACATAAAACATACAAGCACTCAGTCAAATGTCTCAGTCTGGACCTTCATCCAGTCTCTTGCTTGCGATTCCCAACACCATCAAGTCTTACTCACTGAAAGCACTGCTGTCCCTCCGGTTTGCTGCTTCTTTATGAAACAAAGGCAAATCACACAGATACTGCTGCTTTAAGAAAAGGCCCCGTTGTTGTTCAAAGTCACGGCGCTGTGGACAAAACAAGTTTTTGTAGGATGATTTCAATAAGTGCTTGATTTGACAGGCAAGGTCTCCCACGACAACAAACCACTTATTAATTTAACCTATGGCTGAAACAATTAATTATTGAAGTAACTGATTTCAGGCCATTTGCTGAAACTTATTCAGAGCAGTAACCAAGCCAAAACTGTACAAAAAAGATGCACATTTTGCATTTAACACCTTTGTCTGTAAATATGTTTAAGCCAAAACCTCTCAAGTGGCTTAGTTTACATTTTAGGCAATAAATAAATAAATTTTAATACGTGTCCAATATTGTATAAAAAGAGATAAAAGATGAAATGAAAAGGAAATCTGTAGAACGTACTTTGCTCTCATCTGACTAATCACCAGAATAATTGATGACTGATGATCCTAGTTCAACCTCAACCCCATCTTACCTCGTGGCTCAGCCGAATGGCAGCGTCGGTAAACGCTTGGCGCTCCCTTTCAAAAGTCCTCCTCTGACGAGTCAGTTCTGCCCAGGACATCTGGAGACGTTCCCACTCCTCCAAAAAGTAGGAATTCGAGAGTTCGGACGGGACTGTGGAGGCCAGGCTGTCCTACGAGAAGCAGCCAGAGTGGGTCTCTCTCTGACCGTTCACGGCTCAACAGAAGTTTTAATAATAATAAAAAAAATACCTGCAGAAGCTGCTGCTGCAGTCTCACCACCTCCTGACTTTCTTTCAGTTCGATCTCCAGCTGAGCCATGAGCTTATCGTGGTCGGTGCCAGCAGCCGTTTGACCTGCAGACGACAGAATCATTTTCTTGCAGCTTCTGACGACTGGTTTGGTTGCAAAACCCCTCAGGAGATTTATTGTCGGCCGTTCACCTTCGGACAGGATGCTCTGCAGCTTCTTCTGCACCAGCCTCCAGCTCTGAACCACTCCTCCAGTCAGGTGCTCGCCAAGCGCCGCTTCAGTTTCATCCAACTTTTTCTCTCCATCTTGGGTAATATCCAAAAACTCTGGCAGCCACTTTAAAAAAAAAAAGATTAGAGTGTTCACTCCAGGTTATAAACTTTTTAGCATACGTCACATTTCTTCAGTTGTAGTTAAAAAGGCTTGCCCTGACCATTTATAAACTAGTTTGTATTAATGCAAGTGATGTCTAAAAGTTGAATTTACTCAGGACTTGACTGGGACAAAACAACCGACCCGTTCCGAGCAGAGAGTAGTGCTACTTGTACCTACTGATGCTACTAGTGTTTAATAGCATTTCCCTTTCTGGACTGAAACCGTGGATCCACTCGTCCCTTCTGACCTGCTCCATGTCGACTCGCAGTGCGTGCAGCAAAGTGGTGAGGCTGTGGCGCAGCTTCATGGCCTCCCTCAGCTCGGCCTCTCTGCGCTCCAGCATCAGGCGCAGCGCAGCCTCTTCTCGCCTGCCGGGAGGAGAGGAGAGAGCTGCAGTCTGAAGGAGGGCTCCAACTCAAAAAGGCCAAAACCTCAGCGACCTTCAGCAAGCAACCGTCCACATACCTGGGAGTAAACCTGACCGATTTGCCGAGTTGCTCCCTTTTGCCCCTGCTTCCAGGAGGGGCGTTTAATACATCTATGGCTGCATCCGGAACAAAGAAACCGATGCGATCAATCTTATTGTAAATAAGTCTGTTTGAAATAATTCTGGAGTCTCACATGGGCCTTTGTGTCTGTCGGTCAGCTGTGTGAGCCTCTCCTTCAGTCTACTGCAGAGCATCTCTCTGCGCTTCAACTCCGCCTCCTGCTGGCTACACTGCAGCTGCAGACGGGAACTCTGACGGGAAGGAAAGCGCCACTTGAGGTAAACTCAATCAGGGAGTTTTTGCTCTCGAAACTACCGGGCTTACTTTTGAACGCTCAGATCTCAGATCTGCCTGAAGCCTGGCCACATGCTCATCCGTCACTCTGAGCTGCTCCTGTAAGATGACAGTTCCATGAAAAAGTCCTCACGCCCTTTGACCTTTTGCATTTTTTGGGGGTTTGGGTGCAAGGGGGTGTTGTGCGAGATATACCAACGGACAGCATGACACATTTGTTTTTAGTTAGTTTTACTCCGATTCCCGTAAATAAAACCCATCTGTATTTTTTTTTCTGGCAGTGAGAACCGATGTCCAAATGTCAAGGTGAGGCACAGCAGATTATACTTTCACAAGTGGAGCATTCCAGCTTTCACCATGATGCTCCTCCTCATGCACATAAAACCTTAAATTGCTTTGATTTGATCGTTTCAGGCAGAGATCAGTAGAACTCTAACATACTGAAGAGCCGAATTTGACCCTCCTGGTTTAAATCAAAGCACATTCGTATGTTAAAATGGGCTCAGTCAAAGTCCAGACCATTCTGTGGCAAGATATAAAACATTTTTTCACAAATATCACCCATCTATTCTGGCTGAGCTAGTGCCATTCTGCAAACATGCACCACAATTTTTAGAAACTATGCATCATTTTTCTTCCATTTCACAAATGTGTATTATTGTGTTGCGCTACCACATAAAACACATTAAGAGTTTATGGTCTTGACTTTACCAGAAAATGGAGAAAAAGATTAAAGGCTGTGAAATAGGCTCAATAGGATAAGTGGTTTGCTTGGTAGTTGAGCCTTTTTGTTTTGTTTTGTTTTGTTACCCACCCTGAGAGAATCTGCTTGGTCTTTGCAGTCCGGTCCGTCAGCCCACCAGGAAGTGCTCGGGTCCCTCTGGAGATATGAATCTGTAGCATAATTTAACCAAATCAGAGGGTGGGGGGAAGGGAACATTAATGGATATTCAGTGCCAATGTGGATAAAGGTATCAATGTGCACATGAATGATAAGTTCAAATGAAACCTGAAAGTTCCTGTTTTCCACCAACTTTGCTCTGGTCAAATCTGTACGCCATCTAAACTCACATAAATTCACATTTATGAATTGAACACAGAGAAATACAAGCATATCAACACGATAAACAAACCACACATTTCAGGTCAACATGCCCATGTGTACATTTCCAGCCGTTAGCAGTCAGACTTGTTCACAGCTGCTGCTGCTGCTGCTGCTTTTATTTCCAGGTGACAGCACTTCTGCTAATTACCAACAACACACGAGGAAGGGCACGCTTTGGAGTCAGTTGAGCAAGACATTTCCTCTAAAGCAGTGTTTCCCAACCCTGGTCATCAAAGCACACTGACCTGCATGTTTTAGATGTTCCCCTGCTTCAGCACACGATTTCAATTGATGGCTGATTAACAGGGTTTTGTTTAATTGCAATCATCTGAATGGGGTGTGTTGAAGCAGGGGAACATCTAAAACATGCAGGTCAGTGTGCCTTTAGGACCAGGGTTGGGAAACACTGCTCTAAAGCTCCGTATTAGTAACTACTTCTCACTCAGGGTTCCTCCTGTGCGCGTTACAGGCCAAGCTGTAGAAAAACGCACAAGAGGGTCACGACAGCGACCCTCGTTATGAGACACGCTCGGCCGGCTCTCTGAAAGTCAGCGAGTTCAACACATCCGGAAGAGCTGGAACGGCTTTGGGTCAGAAGATTCGCGTGAAGTCAGCGTGTGTCATTAATTATTTTAACAGGATTAGATGGCTACATGTGGGAAAATGTCATATTTTCTCAGAACATTAGGAGTCATGCTGTAACACCTTATTTAACAAAACACTAAAAAGAACAAAACACGTGTTGCAAGTATATATATTTTATTTATTTCCTTTCATACAAACACATCGCATTCATCACAAATCATTGAGGTGACAGATAACGGTAATTCTTGTGGCTTCGTGCAGATTTCCAGTATTTGACGACACAAAGCAAACCCGGTCCAGCAGCTCCCCGTCGCAGCAGAGAGTCAATCCAAATACAATCAAATGATCGTTTCTAAATCCAATTTATTCCCAACTTCACTCACATAATTTGGAAAAGCGTCAAAATGTACGTGACTACTTTTCATGAATGCCTCATGTCCCGTCTGTCAAAAAAAAAGCAGTCACAAAGTGACACTTTCAAAAGTTACCTTCTGATTTTGCCGTGGAAAAAGTTACAGGCAGCATTTCTGTCGTTTCCTAATCACCCGAACGTTGCACAGAAAACGAAGGCGAGTGCCGACAGACAGCAGGAAAGATTTTTGGTTGATTCCAGCGTGAAAAAAAAAATAAAAATAAAAAATGATGACCGACTCACTAAACACAAACAAAACGGAAGGATTTCAATACATACGCAAGCGTTCGTGCAATATGAAATAAATTAAAAGTTGTTACCACTATCCGAATAGTGTAAGGCCTTTACGTGTTTCTCATTTTAAATAAAAAGATTCAACAAAAGAACTGATAACAGGTGAGTGAAAGAAACAAAGAAAAGACCAACAAACCAACACTTATCCTAACGTTAAAGTACGTCATGTTGTAGTACCTCAGCTTCACTGGGACACTTTTACTCTTCGCTTAAATACTTCAATCTTTTTTTTCTTCTTTAAAAAAGGCACTGGTACAGTTAGTTGGCTAGCAATGTAGTTGGACATTATTTCCTTTTTAAAATGTTTTACAGAGATAAACGACACAAAACGGTGCAGACGGAACAGAACCTGCATCGAATTTACGTTTAACATCCCTCCACCTGCCCTTCAGAAGGGCACCGACTGAAAAAAAGCAAACAGCGGGAACGGTCTGTAAATAGATGCCGGACATGTTGAGCACTTAGGCAAAGCGAGATTAATCATTAGTCAAGTTAGTGTCAGGAACATCTTCTGCTTGTTTGTTGAAAAAGTAAGAGTTCGGCCGTGCTTTCGTGTAACAGATGGGAGATATGATACCATTAGTTTTGGCAAAAAAACAAACAAACAAAGAAATTAAAAAAAAACCAAAAAGAGTAGATCGACATCAACCCCCCAAAAAAACCTTCAGCACCGAGTGCAAAAAACCTTCAGCACCGAGTGTTTTCCCTCCCTCCCACCCTTCCTCCCGCCGTGAGGAGCTGCAGAACAAGTCCACGACGACGCAGACGAGAGGTGAAGTGAAGCTTTGACGGACGAGAAATCCTTCATGTTCCTTCTGCCGCTGGAAGAGAGCAGAGAGAATCAGACGTTTATTATGATTCATTCAGACTTTGGTGTTCCAGTCGTGTTTCGTCATGAACAAGACTGTTGCCACAACAGGGCAAAACCCATTCAAAGTGAAAATGTCTTGCTGTTTGATTTGGCACCTGTGGCGTTTCTCAGCTCACATAATTCTGCAGACGGCAGAGAAATTTCCAGCACCCGTTACTGCAACACGGTACTTACTAAACGTTACCCAAACATGTCTTAAGCCTTTCCACATCATGCCTTTCACATATAGGTTGCTCATCCAGCCTGAAGGAAGAAAAGTGGTTTATGAGATTTCCTGTTTTGTAATAGAAGGCAAAAGAGCAGAAATACCACAGTGTGGAACTGCTGCTGCATATTTCCAACATGAGGAAGTTTTTTTATTTATGTGTGTGTGTGTGTATGTATGTATGTATGTATGTATGTATATATATATATATATATATATATATATATATATATATATATATATATCTGATGTTTTAAAAAAAAAGAAAGAAAAAAGTTTGTATGCTTAAAGTGAGTTTCTGTTGAAAGTAACAGCAACTGAAAACAATACAAATCTTTTGTGCTTTTTTTCCAATTCAGGCTTATCGATACATTGGTCTGGATTACAGTTTTGGATCTGATTTCTATTCTTCTGGTAAAACTTTGACCTTCCGATATCGACTTTAGCCAGTTCCATTTTCTCTTTGAGAACAGAAACCAAAAACAAAAAACAGAAGAAACAGGCCTCCTTTTTCTGAGCAGTCTGTATTTACGTTAGAAGCAGAGGCAATGCCACACTCTCAAGCTTTATTTTTGATTTGCCAAAACACACCTCGTTTAAAAAAAGGTAACTTTATGGTACTAGGGAAGTGCAGATCTTCCTCCTAATCGTCAAGGTAACACTTGCAGGAACTCACAGAACACAAAACAAATAAAGATATTTATTTATTTATTTATTTATATTTAGTCATTTTTGAACTATCTCATCACTCTTAGGTATGTATAAAAATGTAAAAACTTTGCCTCATGGTTATATTTGTATTATTGATATTTAATACCTCAGATAGAGTAGCTTGTCAACAAATAAGCAATTTGCCCTTAGGGATCAATAAAGTATATTCTATTCTATTCTAATACTGAAATATTATGTTATGCCAAACACAATCAGAGGATAATCCACTGAGCTGACAGTTATCTGACCGACAGTCACTGACACCAAGGAGAAGGACAGAAATGGCTAAAGAAGCTGGCTCTTCAGACTGCTTATTCATGTAAAGTTGGGTGGAAGGAAAAAGGTTTACGAATAACAGCAAATCTCAGTGTTGAAAGGATTGCGGAGCAAACCTCATTTAAGAGATTGGGGAAAATTCACAAGTTGTGAACTGAGGATGGAGTCGTATTCTAATTTACAGGAGGCATCTGAATCCTCTACCTGTTAGACCTGATCCAGGTCTAACAGATCAGCATTTATCTGATCTCCTTTGAGTGTTTAACACTAAGATAATCAAGTGTTAAACACACTAAGAGAAAAACAGCCCAGGAATAAATTGTGGCTAAAACAGTAAAAGGTCACGTCACCACTTCGGCCGTATTTCAGAAACTTAAAACAAAAACAAACAAACAAACAAACAAAAAACTATCGATATTGACAGTTATGAAACCCTTGCCATGACAGGTTTTTCAGCCATATCGCCCAGCCCTATGTAGAAACAGCAGAATAATGAATAAACAGTACATAAAGGTACTACTTGGCTCCTCCCAGTGGTAAAAAGCGCCTCTTAATGTCTTAAAAGTCGTCTTACCTCAGAAGAGTGAGCAGGACTTCGGGGGTCTGAAGGGATTATCGCTGGAGGGGACCCCCATGAGGAGCGGGTCCTTGTTGGCATTCTGAATGCAGAAGTTTTTCAGCTCGGTGGCAGCCTGGGACACCTGCGGAGCCCAACATATGGTGTGGGTGTGAAAACATGACCAGCATAAACATGAACTGTGTTTGTCTGGGGGCCCCCTGTGCGCTCAGGACGTGCCCGTTTTCTGATTTTTCCAACACTAACTTTTACCGCCTCTGCTATTTTGCATAACATTTGCAAGGAACGGAGCCGCGGATCAGCTGTGGTTGTACCTAAAACGTTTCATTTTCATATATAGGCCCACTCATTTCCAGAGAGCTTGACTTGTATACGCCTTTGACTTCAAAACTTCGAAGTAGCAGCGAGTTACTAATATTTCAGCTACGTGTTTTGTTAGCTTGGCGGCAATTCAGAAAAATCAACAGAATCCACTTTTTTCGTAATTTCTAAACTTTTAGCTCCAGCGTTGAAAACAAAAGTCTTCCGTGTTTTGTGTGTCAGCGGAGGGTTCGTACCTTGATCCTCCGGGTACTGGCCTCTAACCGGAGCTGCTTCACGGTTCTCTGGGCGATCACTAAGTTGCTGCTGGCGTTGTTGTTGGACATAGCGGCGGTCGTTGGTGTTTAAGAAAATCCAACTTTGTTTCCTTTGACAGCCGTCTACAACCTCAACGGAAGCGAGACCTCAAACTGTACTACACCCAGAACTAAACTGGGAAACAGCGCAGGAAGGTTGCCATGCCCACACCGCGCTAACGGAGCCCTCCTATTGGCCAGCACGTCCGTCAACCACGTAATCTTCCCAACGTTCCCAAGGAAACGCCCATAAAAATATGGGCCATTATTTTAAGTTTCCTAGACAGCAAACAGGGTGAAACGTGACCTTCAGCGGTTGTTTGCCACCTCATTTAACTTTACACCCGACTGGGAACGCTTTCAAAGAACTGCTGCTTTATCAATTGTGCAACATGCCCAGGTGAACCTTCCAACTAATTCAGAAATAAAAATTAACAATAATCCTATAGCATTTTTTTTAACCACAGCAGATGCAGCTCAGAATCAGCTTGCCTTTTGTTTCATACCTATGCACAGCCATTTCATGCCTTCCTTCTTCTGTTTTAAACTTACAAAAACATTTCAACAAGCATGTGGCAAAGGTGAACAATCTGTCCCATCAAATCATTCAGCAATCCCTCCTTCCTTGTGCCATTGTGGACAATTGATTGCATCAAGTTGTTGTTTGTATTGTTCTATACGACTGTAATCTGGATAACATACAAAGTAAAAATTGTGATTAAGTGTTTCAACACTTAATTGTTTAATGAACATTGTGTTCTTTGCACCACTTCTTTGCCAACGTCAGCTCGTTGCTATATTATATTTTAATTTCTACTTGTAAAAAGTAACTGACATGGTGCTTTGTTAATGCAAATTTATCCTAATTAATTAATTAACTAATTAATTAATTAACTAGGTAAATAATTAATTTAATTTAAGAACTGGTGGATTTATATATATATATATATATATATATATATATATATATATATATATATATATATATATATATATATATATATATATATATAAATAATGAGAAAAGAAAGCTGAAGGATAACAGAGACTGTATGAATAATGCCAGTATTGATCTGCAAGTTAAGAAGTTATGGTTATGTGGCAGACAGTTGGTTGCAAGTCATCGACTTTGCAACAGCTTTTCATCCTGAGTAAGCATGTGGTGGCTGTGGAAATTACTTATTTTTAACAAGAAACTTGCAGCAGAACCGAACCATCTGCCTCGACTGACACCGGGTCATTTTAGAGGATGAGTGAAAGCCTCTCATCAAAGCTTTGCAAATTACATGTCAAAGAGAAGAGTGTCAGTACATTGTCAGTTAGTTAGGAGCTTCTGGTTTTTCAGATTTTGATCCATTACCACCTACAGCTCAAAATACTATTCAGGTATTTAGAACTCAGTCTAGCTACGCAGATAAGCCACTTGAACTTTATGTAATTCTATTTTTATCTAAACACAGCAAACTCCTACTTTATAAATTTTAAGATTAAAATTGGAAAAGAAAAACTACCAGCCTCTTTCTAGCCACAGGGTTGCCACGATGCAAATGATCAAAAGCCAAACATCTCCCATGGTTTCTATCTCAAACAAAGATCAACCAGCATCAGTGTTTCTGTAGGTGTAGCTCATAATCCATTATCTCTAATTATTTATTTCTCTTGAGAAGTCAGTCTATTTCCCTAATTTATTCTTACAATAAGCAACTGTCTTTTACATTTTATTAATTCAGTTTGACTTTTAATATCATTATAACACACAACTTAGTACACAAATGTCCATATGTAGGTCTGTGCTCAGCCTTTTCTTTTGAACTTCTTTTACACTTTTCCATTCATACAGGGTTTACATCGTCATTATTTGCAATAATTTTTTTTGTTTGAAGTAGCTAATGTAATACAGCCCGCTGGACAGACCAGTGATTCGGTGTCTACTAAATGTTTTTCAGCCATTAATGTTTTTTATTCAACAATCCAAAACAAATAATATTTGTGACCGCTAGGTGGTGTTAAAGAACAATAAAAGACGTTTGACTTCAGTTGACCTGAAATCCTTTGCTGCTGAAGACAAGGACGTAATGCCTGGATAAAACATTGTTAATCTTTAAAGTCTACAGACAATGTAGTGTCTCTGTGTATGATTATTATTGTTATTCATAATTTATTAATATTAGTAGAGCAAGCAGCAATTAGCAAACACCTGGCGGAACTGCGCATCAGCTTAGCTCATTATAAGAGATACTATATAGAGAAAAGCTGCAACCTTTTTTGAGTCCGATCTTATCTAATATGGAGAGACGCAAAGTTGAAAAGCCTCCTGTGGTCTGATGAGTCCACATTTCAAATTGTTTTTGGAAATCATGGGCATAATATCCTTCTGGTCAAAGAAGAAAAGGACTGGTCCGGATTGTTCTCATCACAAATGCCAGCATATGTGATGGTATGGGTGTGAGTTCGAGCCCATGGCATGGGTAAGTCCAGACGACACCAAGGCAATTCACCTCTATGGGCATTCAGTCATTCACTCACACATTCACATGCATACCAGAGAGTTAAAGAAAAGTCCACATCTAGAATTTAAACCAACCAGATTTATTTTTTCTGCATATGTGAGAGAAGTACTGACTGGTGGCCACAGCCCACACCAGTTTCCTGGGGAATCTGGAGTAGACCGATGATCTGTGGTCAGAGCCCGGATGTGACTTGATGAATGCCAGTGTGATCAGCAGACCAAGACAAACCAGGCCCACTCTGGATTCTGGGATCTTGTGAAAGGTGTAGCAAATCTCCAAACTGATTTCACCACAACATTTGGTCTAAATGATCATTATAGGTTCTTTTTTTTTTTCCCAATTCAATTCATTTCAAAGTTTATCTACTTAGCCCTTACTTATGAAATCCAGGTTGTGGTTTACATGCTAGACATTACTACCTGACTTATCTCCACCGGTGCCTTCATGCTGGTGCTCTCTCCTGAACATCTCTAACAAACTCCTCATCATCTAGGAACCACTGGTCACTTATGTGTCACTGCTTTTATCCCCAACATTTACAACAACCTCAGATGACCAAAGTACTTCACAATAATTACAGCATCACATATCAGTAAAAGATAGAAATAAAATTAAATTTAACAATAAAATACAAATAACATATAATTAATTTCAGTTTAATTTCACTTACAGTAATTTCCCCCAAAACTCACCAATCAATCGAATCAATTAAACACCACATTTTTTCTTATTTCAACTGGTCTGATTATTTTACATAAGTGTCATGTTTCAAAGATAAAAGCTTGTACTTCATTTGGTCCCTGCAGATGAGCAGAAAAAAGAAGAAACATGATCATTGAATCTTTATTACTTCTGATAAACTACCTATTAGTTAAACTTACAGACTATTGGTCCAGTGGTGATGGGCTTCAATGCAACAGAGCTTGAAACAGAACGCAATTTTCTGCTTCGACAAACCTGTAAAAAGTAAACAATTAAAGCAATTTATTTATTTATTCATCATGAATCATAAACTACTGATGAAATAAAGTATGTTCAGTTAATTAATCCTCAAATAATTCACATCCTGGCAGGTTGAGGTTAGGAAATATTTTCAGTCAACCAAGAAGTTTGTTTGAGATAGAAAACAAGAAATAATAAAACAATGTAAAAGGATTATTATTTTGATTTTATATATATATATATATATATATATCAGCATTTTGGCATGTTGTGTTTAATTTTAAGCCTCTGCTCACCGGGACACAGTTGGAGCGTCTCTGGTCACACAGGCTCAGGCTACAGTGAAGATAAATTTCTCGATATTCTTCCCCCAGCAGGAACAGCAGAGCAGTGAAACGAGCCTGGAGGGACGAGCCGCTCTGAACCACTGACACCTGACGGCGATCCGTGGAGCATCTGGAAGGGATGACGGAGGAAAGCATGAAAGTTTTAACCTTTACAGCAAACGGTGTTTACTGAGGCTGAGGAGGAGCACACACCTGTTCTCAATGAGGGGGTATCGTACCGGGTCTTCAGGGTTTGACGTGTGAGTGGCAAAGCAGTTCTCCAGAACAACCGCCAAGTTTGAGTCCATTTCCTCCACAGAGACGCCGACGTACAACGGCGAGCCCACTGGCAGGGTGACCTGGCCTGCTGGGTAAGTGTCGTTGTAGCTGGAGTCCAGGAACAGAGACATGGAGGCTGTGGCCTTTACACCTGTACCTGAAATACCTCGTTCCCACCTGGCAAAACGACAAGCATCTTTATCAAGCAGTTCAGGAATTTATTTGCCAAGACCTGTTTTTATTCTGTTTTTGTGTTATTTTAGATTGTTTGAAAATCTTCTCTTTACAGTGCTAGAGTGCAATATATTAACTTCTAGAAAAGCAGAAATCAAAATACTTTCTGTACATAAAAGTTGTTCTCCGCCATTAGCATTTATTTATTTATTTTTTTGCCATTAGAACATTTAACTGCAAACACATGAGGTTAAATGGCGGCGCTCCTGGCTCTGATTGCTTGTTAATATTTGGGAGCGGTGCATTTCTTTAGACAGCAATAGTAGCACTGCGAGGTGACAGAGATTTATCTTTTGACTGATTTTCTGTCTCAGAACAAACTGTCAGTTTTAATAAATATGTAAAAGAAAAAAAAACATTTTTAATAAAAGTTACATTCTGCAGCTTTAATGACACATAACTAACAAAGTATAACAAACACTTATTTACATAAATAGTATTTATTCATAGCCCTAACAACAAATTACTGTTTGTGGTATATGTTTTATAAAAGATAGATGGTATTTTTACTGTTGTGTTTTAGAAAAGAACGCTTTTCGGGTGAAAGGACTAATGTACTGTATAAAAAACTGTTAATTATTTGTTTTCAGCCCTCTAGCTTTTCTCTCTTATCAAGGTGTTTTATATGTAGTATCTTATTTACGCCACTAGGTGACTGCTCGATCATTGAGTAGTGCTGATATCAACGCAGGCATTGTTTATTACCTCTCTCAACTATGTGCGTCAATTGGATGTGAATAATACTGTTATTGGTTTAGTTTGGTTTCTTAAAAACCTAATAACTGCACTGACACTTTGTTTTGTAGAATATTATGATTGTTTGGTATAGTTTATTCGTATTGTGGAGAGCTAACAGCTAGCCTTTTAGCATTACATAATTAAGCTCAGATGCAGCTGTTCGTGGTTATCATTTTCCAATTGAAATGCCTTATTTCTCTTGTGTGTTTTATTCTGTGACACCATTATTAGTATAGTTGATTATTATTTATGTGTAATATGACGTACATTCTCATAGCCAGGTATTAATCACCTGCTAGCTTTATTATAGTCTTTAAGCACGTATATTCCCTTTGTGGACTTTTTGGTTGTCTTTGAGAAAGAAGTATTTCAGTGATTCTTGAGAATAGGGACAAGATGGGTTTTAATTTTCCCATATTTTTTTTAAATTATTTCTCAACCTTATGTATGCAAATATGACAAATAATGTTTAGAAAATATGAAGATGCTAAGGTACAGGCTCCCAGTTGCGATTTTTTTTTTAAAAAAATTAAATTTTTAATTGACCTGACCCAAAACTTTGTCATCACCATCTGACAAAAATAAATCTAAAATGATTTTTAAAATACCCCATTAGTGATATTTTTACTCAATTTACAGACAAATGCTTCTCAAGAAATAAAATAAATATTATTTCAAACAAAAAACAAGAAAAAGTCCATCTGATGGAGTTGACAGTGCATGACGGAGTTGACACAGAACTGAAGGTGGTGACAAACTAGTGAGTAAAATAAAAAAACTTGATACATGTGAAGTAATGCAATTCATGTAAAATACA